TGGCAGCAGGATTAGGTGATGATTAGGTCTACAAGACCTGGAAGTTAAATAAATTTGTGTGTAAACACACAAAATCTTAGCATGGATTTGGAAGGGGGTCATGAAAGTGCACCCAAGCTGAGGAGCTATTGGCAATTGATGGCCGCTGGGGAGGGAGGGTCAGTTTTCTTCAGCAACCTCTCAGGGACTACCCATGTTCCAGTAGATAGTCCTACACACATGCACATACAGGCAGTACTAAGTGGATTCAGTGTGTTTAAAGAAACAAGCACGGGAAATTGGGAGGGAAAGTGGTGGGGACGATAGGAGAAAAATAGGAGGGGATGGATTTGATCAAAACACATTATGTGCATGTATGAAATTCTCAAACAATAAAAAAAATTTTTTTTAATCCAGCATGGAGGGAAGAGGGCTAAGGAGCTACTGGCAGTTGATGGCTGCTGGAGGTAGGGGGAGTCATTTTTCTTTAGGGGTGTGTGGCCACTGGCAGGTTGCCCATGCCTGAGTGGATAATCCCACACCCATGCACATATGGGCAGCACTAACTGGACTCAATAGGTTATAAACTTTTTAAAAAGACTGCTCTTCTAAAGGACCCAGGTTTGATTCCCAGCACCCACATGGCAGTTACAAACCATCCTTAACTCCAGTTCCAGGGGAATCAGAAACCCTCTTCTGACCTCAACGGCATTACATGACACGGGTGCACTCACTTACATGCAGGCAATACACTCATACACATAAAATAAAAATAATAAAATATTTTTTAAAAAGGCATGAAGTTGAGCAGAAGGGATATGCGTTGGAGGAGGTCCCAGGGGAGTTGGAGGGAGAGAATGGGGTAAACATGGTCAAGATACATTGTATACATGAAATTTTCAAAGTACTACATATTTGTAAGAAAAGAACACAGAGGAAGTTGTAGAAGACATAGGTCAGGCTGTTAATGACATGCTTCCTGGAAAGCAGTACATATCTTTTATTCATAACTAATATAGAAGACTCAAGAATAAGCCCATGTATCTACAACCACCTGAATTTTGGCAAAAATGCTAAAATATAGAGAAAGGACACCCAAACCTCTTTAACAAAATGTGCTTTCATATCCACATACAGAAAAATGAAACTAGATCCTTCTCTTTCAGAAACCCTGTAACAAAAATCAACTTCAAATGGATCAAAGACCTTAACGCAAGACCTGAAACTCAAACTGTCAGAAGAAAAGGCCAGCAAACACTTCAAGATGTAAATATAGGCAACAATATTCTGAAAAGGATTCCAATTGCTCAGGAAATAATGACAATTGACAAATGGGATTTTATGAAACTAAAAAGCTTTTGCACATAAAGGTAAAGGACAGTCTGCACAATAGGAGAAAAACTACTAACTATACATCTGATAGAGGAATAATATCTAGGATATACAAAGAACTCAAAAACAAAATAACAAAAAATCAAAAATCCAATAAATAAATAAGCTAATGAAATGAACAGACAGCTCTCAAAATATGAAACACAAGGGGCCAGTAAACATATAAAGTATGTTCAACTTCAGAAGCCATTAGAGAAATGAAAATAAAAGACATGAGTCCATCTCACCCTATGCAGAAGAGTCCTTAAGAAAACAAGTAATAAAGGTTTGGTGTGATGGTGCAGGCCTTTAGTCCCAGCACTTGGGAGGCAGAGGCCAGCAGATCTCTGTGAGATCAAGGTCAGCCTGGTCTACATAGTGAATTCCAAGACACCTGGGGCTACAGGGAGACCCTATGTCAAAAAGAGAAAAACAAACAAACAAACAAACAAGTAATACAAGCTGACAAGGGCAAGGACGCAGAAAAAACGAGGACGTTTTATACATTTATACATCATCAGTAGGAATATAAATTAGTCCAGCCTCTGTGAAAATCAGTTTGGAGGTTTCTCAGAAAACTAAACATAGATCTACTCTATGACTCACCTATACCACTCCTCACTGTTTACCTGAAGGAGTCTAAATCAAAATTTTATAGATACTTGCACATCAATGTTACTGTAATACTAGTCACCATAGCTAAGTTAATGAAACTAATCTACATATCTGAGAGGAATGGATAAAAAATGTGATACAGCGAGAACAAAATTACCATTTACAAGAAAATTTATGTATCAAATTAAGTAAATTCAGTCTCAGAAAGACAAATACAGCATGTTTTCTCTTATTGGTGGACTGGGCAGGGAGTTCTAGGAATGCAGCTGTCCTGAGTCATCACCCACTGGGGTGGGCTTTTGGGTGATGCCCTTCTGTCCTCTATACTCCTTTAAGTAACCCCTCACCCACATTCCTGTAAGTAACCCCAACAGACTTCCTAATTCAACAAGCTTAAAATAAATAGCCATTAATATGTGTGTGTAAAATGTAGCTTTTTAAAAAATAATTTATTAAGGTGTGTGGAGGGACAGGCCAAGGCAGCGCTTTCTGTTTTGAGTCTGACGACCTAACCTAAGTTCCGCCAGGAGACCTGGAGATCGCTGACGCACCCGAAGAACCAATGAGAGAGAAACATCTCAGACTCAGCGACCAATGGGAGGACAGGGAGGGGTATAAAGTTTGCTCCCTTGTATGCAATAAAGGAGAGCTCTGCTTGCAACACAGTGAGTCTGTGAGGCTGACTCCGGGCCTACTCATCCCCTGCCTCCGCGGTGGGAGAGAGGACCGGCTTAACAGCAACAGAGGTGTATGCATATAAGGGGTTTTGATCAAATCCATGCCCACTTCCTCCCCTCCAATTTCTCCGATATCTCCCCATCATTTTTTTCTGATAGCTTCATGTACTCTTTTTTTTTTTTTTTAATGGGGCTTTTTGCTACTCTAACATTTCCCCCTCTGAAGAGGTAACCCTAAAATCTTTTAAGGATTAGATTAAAGCTCCCAAACACTTTCGACATTTTTGGCCTTTGGAACAAAGTATGTTGCTAAGAGGTTCAAGGACATTGTGACTTTTAGCCAAGAAACTGGCTACTTTTCTTTGGGGTCTTTTTACCCTAACTGCCTAGCCTATTCCTACCTCCTATTCTTAAACAATGTACGAAGTCCTTCGAGCCAGAATCCAACCAGCGACCTAAGGATTACAGTGCTCTATCCACTACAGTCCTCCTCTCTACCAACTGAGCTATTGAAGATAGCTTTACTGAAGGAAAAAAATTTTATTTAATATTTTCATATATTGTACCTTTATATCTGAAATGGGGTTCTTATGAGAAGAATATACTTCTATCAGTCAGACAAGTTGTTTTTAAGGAAGGTATTTGTTATCTTTGCTGGCATATTAGCTATCATTCTCTTTTATAGTTTTAGGCATTATGTATAGAATTCCTACAGTTTTCTCTCCTGCTTTCCAATACTCACAGGTCAGCATGTACAACACTGCACAGAAAACATCTTACTCCATTCTATTTCTTCATGCCAAATAAGTATCCCTTATTGCATTTTTGCCCTTTTCAGAGTTTACAAAGAAAGAACATTATGGGCTGGTGAGATGGCTCAACAGGTAAAGATGCTTGACATCAAACTAATGACCTGAGTTTGATTCCCAGACCTCATATGGTAGAAGGTGAGAACTAACCCCACAAGTTGTTGTCTGACCTCCACAAGCACACCATGCACTTTGAGTATATTTTAACACTGTGTGGCTATGGACTATCAGATAAAATAGCGTGCATGTCTATGTGTGCGAGCAAAAAGTTTTTGATAGGTCTGTGGTGAATTTTGCTAGTGCATTTTCAAGAGATATTTTCCCAAGTTACCATCTAATCTATCATTTCAATTTTGAGAATTATACCCATAAAACAGAAAAATGGAGAATTTGGATTTTTTGCTTTTTTCACTGGTTTCATACCATCAGGAGTAAATTAAACAGAATATACTCCAGAGAAAGCAGCCAAATTACTGTCATTTTCCATGGAAAACCCACCATTCTGAATGAGATACTTTAGAAATGGGGAAGAGATAGAAACATTGTAGTTACAGTTACATTAAAAATATATACTAGGCCAGGCGTGGTGGCGCATGCCTTTAATCCCAGCACTCGGGGAGGCAGAGGCAGGCAGATCTAGTTCAAGGCCAGCCTGATCTACATAGTAAGTTCCAGGACAGCTGGGGCTACAGGGAGACCCTGTCTCAAAAAGACCAAACATATATATGCAAACTAATTGTGTTCAACTCTGGTTGAAGCATTGGTCTGAACCGATTCACTGCTGTATCCACTCTTACACACCAAGCACTACGTAGGGGAGATACATAAACAAGACAAGCTCTTCCACAGTAAATTTCCAAGTTTGTCAGAGCTGGGGACCTTTTTCTCTGAAGGGTCAGATACAATTTTACAGGCTTTGGAAGCTATGCAGTCTCTGCTGCCAACTAAGCACCTGTGTTCTAGGGTACAAAGAATCATACATGATCCATAACAAATGATAAACTTCATTTACAAATCAGATGGTAGGCCAAATATGTGGCCTTGGGCTACGGTTTGATACTCAGTTCTCTTGTGGAAACAATTAACTAGCAATTCAATTTATGTGGCAAATGCAAAGGTTTGTATGCAAAAAGCACATAAAAACATAACCCAAGAATCAATGAAGGCTTGAAAGAAAGCAACAGTCTAAAAAGTTCATTTTCTTTTTTGTTGTTTTTGTTTGTTTGTTTTTAGAGACAGGGCCTTCTCAACTGTGTAGTCCTGGCTTGCATGGAACTCGATTTGTAGACCAGGCTGGTCTTGAACTCAAAGGGAACTGCCTGCCACTGCTTTCTGAGTGCTGGGATTAAAAGTGTGTACCACCACACCCAGCTATAACTTCATTTTCTTAAAGTCAGTAAAATAAAATAGTTTCCCATGATGTGCCACCACTATAAAATAACTCAAAATTTCATTCTGAAAATGTAAAATATATGTGAGCATAAAAGAAACACTTTCCTATATTCTTTCATAACTACCAAATTACTCTGTGAGTCCTTGTGACGCTCACCTTGAGTGACTGTTTTGAGAACAATTAAGGTTGATAAAAATCTCAGTGACAAGTTGGAGCTCTTGAAGAACGCAGCTGACTTTGGTTTATTCTCCACAGAATGCTCTAATGAAATCTCTTGAGTCCCTTTAATCACCACTCCTTTAAATACATCTTCTCCCAGTCTCCTCAACGTTGATGTCAAAGTTGAATGCTGTTAAAAATATACACAATTGTCTAGTTTAAATACTATGATCAAATTTATGCACTGAAAGTGGAAAGAAACAGAGTTGAAAATTGCAAAATTATAACTGTGCAACTAACTTTTAAAATGTGAGTATGGATGTTATGAGATGTAAAAACATTAAGATCAGGCAAAATCTAGCATAAATATCAAAGGAACAGAGTCAGGCTCCTCTCTGAGTTCCCTACTCTTCAACAATCACTGACAAGTTCTAATGTTTTATAAAAGTACACAACATTAGAAATAATTTTAAAAACCAAAAATAGAATTTCTTTATCTTACCATTAGCATAATTACTATAAGTTTTAAAGTTGTTAAATTTTTCTATTTTTTAGTTTTCTATTATTTTAAATCATTTTAAAACTTATGTATTACTTTTCCCCAATGATATTAAAATCTTACTGATATACATTTAAATTAGATTGCACCAGTTGTGCCACTCACCACCCAATCACAAAATCTCAGTATAATTGTTTCTTATTGTCGGTGTACAAATTCAAAATGTGTTATCAGCACTGCAGGATCAGTGGAGCTGAGAATCAGGTGTTTACAAATCCTCCTCCTTCAGATCATTGTAAATGTCTGTGACAAGGGCTAGTTTGAGCATTCTCATCTGCACCAGTTTGAATCGTTTCCTTTTCTGTGAGTCATACGTGGACTATCACTAGATACTATGTTATTTTGGAGATATTTTAGACCATAATTTCTGCTTTGTTCATTTTCTTGTTTCAGTTTATTCCATGTGAATTTTCTATGATTCCAACCCAGTATTTTATTCTTTTGAAACTGTTATATTTTTCAGAGTAACTGGGGATATTTATAGTGTAAGTGAGCTGAAGACATGAAGCAAGTGAGTCATTTTAGAAGTAAAAACAGTAAAATATAGTTGAGAAGCTATATGTCAGAAGAAGGCTTCAGATTCCCTGGAACTGGAGTTACAGACGGATGTTAAGTCACTGTGTGGGTACTGGAAACTGAAGCCAAGTCCTGTGCAAGAGTAGCCAGTGCTCTTAGCCACTAAGCCATCTCAACCAGCCACAAACTTTTTATTTTTAAAATATGTGTTTTGGTGATATTATATATTTGAGAGGAAAAATACCATAAAAATTATACTTTTATATTGCTGCTCAGGCTTCCCCTAAGGACACTGAAACCAATCTACACTCAAAATGTCTAATTTTCTATCTAAAAGCCCTCACCAAGAATCAGAAAGATATAAAACTAAACAAAAGAAGGCCTCCTGGTGCTTACCACAGGCTGTTTTTACACTGACTGTATAGAAAGAAGAGGCAGAGCAAACCTGCCCCCATATACACCCCAGCCCAGGTCACTGTGCCTGGTCTGTATTGTGAATGGGGAGACATGGATTTGAGGGGGACATGACTTAATTTGTTCCCATTTCCCTGAAGTAAAGTGGAAAGTTGCACTGGGATTTGGCAGAGAGGTTCAGGGAGTGGTGTAAAATTAAAAAAAAAAAAAAAAAACTAAACAAAAGAAGACAATATCTGCCAATGACAGTCTAACAAAATCTCAGAATTATTTGACAAAGAATTTAAAGCAGCTCTAATAAAATAAGCATTATAAGCACTTAGAAAATCCCAGGGGCTAGAGAGACAGCTCAGAAATTAAGACTTGCAGAGGACCCAGGTTCAGTTCCCAGCACCCACATGGCAGCCAACTGTATGTAACTCTAATCACAAGGGCTCTGACTCCCTCTTCTGACTTCTGAGGGAATTGCACACATGTGGTATGCTTACATACACAAACATAAAACACGCATACACATAAAATAAAAATAAAAATTTAAAAATCCGATCAAAAGAAATATAAAAGCCTTACCAAAGAAAAACAGAAGAAAAGCCAACAGGAAATTTTAATAATAATAATATATGATTATAATACAAAATACGTAGTGACAATAAAATTCACTATACCCTTAGTAGCAGAATGGAGGGACAGAAAAAAGGATAAGGTAACTAGAAAATAAAATAACATAAAATAGTCAATTTGAATAATCAAAAAAGCTGGACAAATAATCAAGAAAACTTTAAGGCGATGAGAGGCTACAACAAGAAACCTAATAGTCATGCTACTAGAGTTCTCAGAGAAGAAACGCAGGCAGGACTGAGAAGATACTTAAAGAGCAGTGGCTAAGCTTCCCGGATCTGGCAATAATTAAAATGTTAAAAATAAATATACAGGGCTGGAGAGATGGCTCAGCAGTTAAGAACACTGGCTGTTCTTGCAGAAGACCCGCATTTGAATCCCAGCACCCAGATGGCAGCTAACAACTGTCTGTAACTCCAGTTCCAGGGGATCTGACAGCCTCTTCTGTGCTCCACGGGCATTGCATGACACGGGTGCACTTACCTACATGTAGGCAATACATGTACACACATAAAATAAAAACAATAAAAAAAGAAAAAATGAATATATAAGAGAGAGAGAGAGAGAGAGAGAGAGAGAGAGAGAGAGAGAGAGAAACTGAAGAACTTGAACAAATCCTAAACGGAATAAATCCATAAGAAATCAACAGCAAGGCCTATCATAGTCAAACTTGAGAACACCAAGGTAAAACAAGCAGGGAATAGTGACACATGCCTGAAATACCTGCAGGAGGGAGATGGGGGTGGAGGATGAGGAATTCAGGTCATCTTTGGGTACATAGCTCATTCAAACTCTGAGTCTTAGCTCAAAATTAATAAAGAAATAAAAATGTTATCAAAAGAAAAATACACAAACACAATAAAAGCTAGAGAAAATACATCTTGCATATATAGGGAACATAATCCAAATGGCAATAGATTCTGCACCAGAAACTAGAGACAGTAGAAGGAATTGGTACAGCATTTTTTATACATCAAGAGTAAAAATCTGTCAACTGAAAATCCAACTCCACTGAAAACACTCTCCAGGGCTGGAGAGAGGGTTCAGTGGTTAAGAGCACTGGCTGCTCTTGCAGAGGACCTGGGTTCAGTTCCTAGCACACATGGTGACTAACAACAGTCCATAAGTCCAGTTCCAGGGGATCTGATGCTCTCTTCTGACCTCTACGGGCACTGCAAGACATAGGTGCACTTACACACATGCAGGCAATACACTCATACACATAAAAATAATAAAAAAAAAAATTTTTTTAAAAAAAGAAAATACTCTTTGGGAATTAAATTTTAATTATTTGCTCCTTTAGCTCAGGATGTTAAGACAAAGGAAAACTAAGAGGATCTGATATCTGCGAACATACTGTAAAAGATAAAGAAAGAAATGATAAAAAAATATATTACATGAAGCATCAGGAAGAAAAACACAAAAAGCAAAAACACCTGTAACACTACAGACTTAAGTTTCATAAATTATGCTTAATGAGCAAAGCAGAAACTGACATCTAATATGATTGAAGTGTATGTTGAAAAAATACCTAACATCTAATGTGGTTATACTTTAAATGAGGACGATTAAGGGACAGAAAGAGACATTTTTTTTTATGTGTATGAGTGTATTGCCGGCATGTATGTGAGTGCACCTATGTGTGCAATGCCACGGAGGTCAGAAGAGGGCTTCAGATTCCCCTGGAACTGGAGTTAAGGACAGTTCACAGCCGCCATGTGGGTGCTATTCAAAAAGGTAAAATGGTAGAATCAGTAGACTAGTAAGTTAATCATATACAATGTGATACATTAAGAACACTTAAAACATCTAAACAAAGATGTCTATTCAAAGTATTATATATACATGAAAGCAAAATTCTAAAAAATGTTCAAGTAATCCACAAGAGAGCAGGGTATAAAAAAGACAACAGCAAAAATAATACCAAACAAAGTGACAGTTAAACCTTAACATAAGGTGATAAGTACATTAAATGTAAATTACCCAAAAATGTAAAATGAAACAGCTTTTAAAAACTGATTTAGAAAGACAATCCAGGGCTGGAAAGATGGCTCAGCAGTTAAGAGCACTGGCTGCTGTTGCAGAGAACCTGGGTTCAGTTCTCAGCACCCACATGGTTCCAGGGGATCCAACACCCTCTTCTGACCTCCTTGGGCATTTCATGACATGGGTGCATTTACATACATGCAGGCAATGCACTCATACACATAAAATAAAATGAAAATATAAATAAAATATTTAAAAACTACAATTCAGCTGGAAGTGACCTGGAAGCCACCTCTGCAAAGGCTAGCTCTCATAGTTTTGGAGAACACTATGTAAGCTGCTAAGGGAGAATAGCAATCAATGGTCTAACCCCATCTTTAAAGCCTAATAATCACAACAACTGGCACAGCAAACTATTTTGGGACAGTAGGGGCACTTTATCTTGGGGGTAATTAACAGCTACCTAATTGGATTTAAAGCCCACTCAATGAGAAGGAACTCATGTGTGGTACTGTAAACCTAGCCAAATAAACACAGCTGGAGCGATCACAGATCTTAGAGAAAACCCCAAGGCTGTCACATCCCTAGGCAAATGTAATTTCTTACCATCTGCTAACTATGAATCATTATATTTACAGACAAGTATGCCAGTCACCACTCATCAAAGAAACTTCTCTTGCAAACAGACAGCAACTGTTACAGAATTCCACAACTGGTCACACAGAGATTGTCTGTGAAATGCCAAATCCTAGGTGACACAACTACAATGGAACCTCTATACTTAAGGCTCATGGAACACAGTAGAACAAGGGGTAGAGAGAACACTAATGTATCTCTCAACTCTCATTAATGAAGTTCCCTCAAAAAACAGAGGTCCATGAACACAAAAGGACACAGACAGCCAAAGCACAGAGAATAAGAGTCTCTAGAGTGTGGGTCCTTGGGCAGGTCTCATATTAAACCCACCCAGGGCTCAGGGACCATTGTGGAAGATGGGGCAGAAAGACTGTAAGAGGGAGGAGGTTCATGACCATATAGAAATAGAGTTTTACAGGCTCCTGGGATTTTGCTCATATGAACCTGTAGCAATGTTGTCAGTATGCACAAGAACAATGCAAACCCAAGCAGAAAAAAACCCAATACAGAACTATGAAAATGGATAGCAGGACTCAATCTCAGCCAAAAACCTACTGGTAGCTGATTAGTGCTGGGTGAAGAATAGCTGATCTTAAAGGGGGAAACTCTAGATAGCTTGACTAGATCTCAGTGGATGAACTTGAACTGTGGGATGTTTTCAGACACTAACTTGACTCAGTAGGCCTTGACGTCGATGACAGAATGCATAAAATCCAGTGGGGAGCTATGGGCAGCTGCCAGTGGGGGAAAAGATATAAAGATAATTAAGAAAAAATATATACATATACACATATATACATACACATACAATCCAGGGGCTGGAGAGATGGCTCAACAGTTAAGAGTACTGACTGCACTTGCAGAGAACCCGGGTTCAATTCCCAGAACCCACATTGTAGGTGACAACTGTCTGTAACTCTAGTTCCAGGGGACCTGACACCCTTTTCTGACCTCCGTGGGCCCTGCATGACACAGGTGCATCATGCAGGTAACACTCATACACATAAAATAAAAATAATAAATAATTTTTTTAAAAAAAAGAGTACATACTGCCAGGCATGGTGGCACAAGCCTGTAGTTCCAGCACTTGGGAGGCAGAGGCAGGCAGATCTCTGTGAGTTCAAGGCCAGCCTAGTCTACATAGTGAGTTCCAGGCCAGCTGGGGCTACAGGGAGATCCTGTTTCAAAAAAAAACTTAAAGAGTACATTCTGCTCTTACAGAGGACCCATGTTTGTTTCCCAGCACCCATTGAGGGATGGGGAGCAGGGCTCAAAATGACGTGTAACTCCAGCTCCAGGAAGATCTGACACCTCTGTTCTCTTGAGAGCATCTGCACTTACATGCACATACCCACACACAGATATGCATACATACACATAACTTAGAATACAATAAAACTTTAAATATACAACCCACCTGTATGTTGTCTAAAAAAAACTTATATCAAATATAACAAATGTGGAAAATGGGAAAGAATGTAACAAAAATAGTAACAAATAAAAGCAGACTGACTATACTACTATCAAATAACTTCAGAAGCAAAAAAATGACTAGGAAGAAAAGGACATTATGTAATGATAAGACCAATCCACCAAGATATAATAGTCCTAAAGGTATATGCACCAACCCACAGAGATGTAAAGTGTGAGACAAAACAGGAGGAACAGGAGAAACACAAGTATACAGTTATAGCATGACTTCAACACTACTTCTCGACAACTGAGAGCAGTAGACAAAGTATCACTGAGGACATAAAACCACATATGAATACCATCAACTAGCATTTATAGAGCACTCCACTCAAGCACAGAATACAAATCTAAGTAACAACTTCAACAATACAACTACACTAGAAAAACAAAAAGACAACAGAAAGACCTCTAACCAACTTCTAAATAACACATACATCAAAGAGGAAGTTTCAAAGAAATTTAAAAGCTAGTGAGTTAAACATAATGAAAGGGCTTGAAGAAATGGTTCAGTGGTTAAGAGCTCTTGCTGCTTTTGCAGAGAACTGGAGTTCAGAGCCCAGCATTCACATTGGGCAGCTCACAAACACCTATAAATCCAAAGGACCTGATGCCTACTTCTGGCCTCTGCCGGCACCCCCACATACACGCTTGTACATACCTGTACATAAACACACACGTACACATAAATAAATCTTTTAAAAAATGTAAATGAAAATACAGCATATCAAAATATGTGTGATGGAGGATGGAGAGACGCTCAAGTGGTAAAGTGCCTACTGTATAAGCAGGAGAACCTGAGTTTGGGTTCCCAGCACCCACATCTGTAACCCCAGTACTGAGGGTGGGGGTTGGAGGATGGTGGAGACGGGCAGATCCTTGGAGCTCCACTGGCCATTTTAACCAAATCAATGAGTTCCATATTTAGTAAGAGACCCTGTCTCAAAAAAAAGGTAGAGGGCTGACAAGATGCCTTAGAGAGTAAAGGTGATTGTTGCATAAGCCTGACAACCTGAGTTTGATCCCCAGAATCTACATTAAATTTGGAACAAAAGAATAAACTCAACAAAGTTGTCTTCTGATCTCCACATATACTCTGTGGCACATACGCCCTCACATACACTTCATGTGCACACATATATTAAAAAAATAATAATAATAATAAGAGCCAGGTATGGTGGCACATGCTTTTAACTGCAACAGCTGGGAGGCAGAGTCAAGCAGATACCTATCAGTTTGAGGACAGCCTGGTCTACATAGCAAGTTCCACACTAGCCAGGGCTTCATAGTGAGACCCTGTCTCTAATAATAATAATAATAATAATAATAATGATGATGATGATGATGATGGTGATGATGATGATGATGATGTGGAGTGACTGGGGAAGATATGTGACCTCTGGCCTCTATATGTGTGTACACACACACACACACACACACACACACACACACACACCACAAATAAACCACAGAAACGTTTGACCTAACTAGAACAAGAAAACATTAAATTTACACGTAAGAAAAGAGTAAGTGGCTGCAGAGATGGCTCACAGGAAAAGCATTTGCTGAACAAGCAAGAGAACTTGAGTTTGAATCCCTAGAACCCACATAAAAAGCTAGGCACAGCCACAAACCTGTCTGTAAGGACAGAACAGAAGGATCCATAGGGTTTGCTGGCTGCCAGGCTAGCTCCAGATTCAGTAGAGACTGTCTCAAGAGAACAAGCAGAAAGTAACAGAGCAGGACACTTGAAGCATGCCTTCACACACACATACACAAACACAAAAGGGAAAAGTAGCTGCCACAGTGGCATACACTGTAATCCCAGCACTCAGGAGACTGAGGCAGAATGCTTGTGAATTCAAGGACAGCCTGGGCTACATAAGACTTTCTTAAGGTAAACTCATCCCTGCACACACAAAAAAGAAAGAAGTTTCAAATCAATAATTAAATTTATATCTCAGTAACCTAAAACAGGAATGGCAAAATAAAGTCAAACCAAGTGGAAATAAGGAAATAATAAAGATAGAAGAAATCAACTAAAGTGAAAACAGAAAAATGGAGAAAGTCAAAGAAACAAATAGATGATCCTTTAAAAGATGAATAAAAAGCACAGATTTTTAGGAAAAGACAAGGTGGAAAAAAAAAAAAAGCACAAATTAGCCCTATCAACAACTATCAATGATGTAACAGAGCTAATCTTATAGACCCTGAAAATATACTGGAACATTGTGGTAACTGATTTCAGATCTCTAAATATGCTGTACCTATGTTTTCATTTTACCTTTACATTCCAAATGTTCTACACATAAATTTGACAACTAGACAAAATGGTTCAGTTCCTCAAAAAGCTACAATAAATTATAAAAATTAGAATAATTCCATAACTATTAAGAAAACTGATTTCATAAGTTAAAACTTCCCTCAAACAAATCCCTGGGTCAAGATATTTTCACAAGAGAATTCTACCAAATATTTAAAGAATTCATACCATCTACCCAATAAATGTAAAAGATAATTTCAATTTGTATAAGCCAAGTAGTACTTTGATATATAACTAGACAAGGTTCAACATACAAAAAAAAAAAAAAAAAAAAAAAAAAAAAAAAAAGGTTGATTAGGCTCCAAAGCTAAGTTGAAGTAAAAATATCATTAAAGGGTTTCCCAAGGACTCTTTAAGAAACTCCTGGAATGATAATGTCATGGTCATAGGACACAAAAATAAGCAGAAAAATCATTTATATTCCCACATACTATCAACACAAACACATGGACAACAAAATCTAAAAGATAAAAATCACTAAGAAACAAATAGTTGAAAATTTCAAAAGAATATTGCACTTGAATTTTACTAAAAAAAAGAAATCAAAACAAACAAAAACTTGCAACACTGATGAAAAACAGCGCTGAATGGAAAGGTTATATTCCTGAGTTGAAAGACTCAACACATAAGATGTCAATCCTTCTGAAATTGATATACAGGTTTAATGCAATTTTGATCAAAATCTCAGGAGGCTATTTTAGAGAGATTACTCCCAAACAGAAAGAGGACTTAGTACACACATACACACATACACTTTTTGTTTACTTTTCTGTGAACAAGATCAAGAGCACTAGCACTAAATGAAATATTAGTTGAAGACAGATTCCAGTGAGTCACTTACCTGTGCTCCAGCATCAAGCTGCCTTAGGGACCAATATATAAACTTTATAAAAGGCTCATGAAGTTTGGCATTCACAAATGGCATCCACTGCAGCTGCTCTGTCATCATAGGCAAAAGCTAAGAACATAATGATGGAAAACAAAGGCACAGCATATTTAGATATATGGAAAAAGCTGCAATTTTCCAAAATATGAACTAAATGACTTTTAGGATTGGTTTAACAATTTCTGCAAAGAAGTCAGTTGAAATTTTGATAATGCACTGAATATGCATATTATCTAGGGGTAGGGAACTGATATCTTTAAGAAAACTAGGTCTGTCAGGATATGAATGCCTATTATTTAGATCTTTTAAATTTCTTTTAACCGTATTTTATGGTTTTCAGACTATGTTTTACATCAAAATTACAACATAGCTAACATAGCTATTTATTGAATTTGTCTATGTAGTTATCTTCATGTTGGTAGTCCCTGAAGGGCTCCCTTTAGTATCTCCAGGACAGGACTAGTGGTTAGTGAGTTCCCCCAGCCTTTGTTTATCTGAGAAAGTCTTAATTTTTCCAAAAATTAACCTTTCCAAAAAGGTTTGCTGGGTACAGTCCTCATTTCCATGCTCTGCCATCCAACTGCCTGTTGACCTGCAAGGATTCTACTGAAAGACCTGCTCACATGCTTACAGAAGCTCCTTTGTGAGTGGCAAGTTGTTTTTCTCTTGCTGCTTTCAAGATCTTTTTTGTCCTTGATTTTTGCCAATATGTTAATCTTTGTGTTAGTTTCTTTGGGGTTCATCTTTGTCGGGAATTCCTTAGACTTCATGAATTTGTATGTCTACTTTCTCAGTAAAAACATCTGGGAAGTTCTCAGCCACTATTTAGAACAAAACAAAACAAAACAAAACAAAACAAAAAAAAACCCCACTGTCCCTCCTCTCTTCCTAAGACTTCCACAATACACAATACATGTAATTGGTGACATGATGGTTTCCTGCGAGTTCTTTAGTCTCTTCCATGTTTTGCAAATTATTTCCATTTTTGTAACATATTTAGTCTTAGGAGATACTACTTCATATTGCACTATAATGGGGGTTTTCCCCCTTCAAGTTCTTTAAAACTATTCTACTCATTTATTTTTGAAACACAGAAGGTATAGTGGTTTGAATAAACAATGTCTCCCATAGACTCAAGTATTTGAACACTTGGTCCCCAGTTGGTAACGCTATTTGGGGAAATTATAGCCCTTTACAAGGTGTGGCCCTGCTGGAGGAAGTATGTCACTAGGGGTGGGCTTTCAGAGTTCACAGCCGTGTCCCACTTCCAGTTTGCCCTCTCTGCATTTTGTTTGCAATTAAAGACGTGATCTCTCAACTTCCTGCTCTGGCTGCTTCCCTTCCCCCTTCATGGACACTCTCTTTCCAGAAACATAAGCCAAAGTAAACTCCTCTTCCATGAGTCTCTTTTGGTAATGGTGTTTTATACAGTGACCAAAAGTAACTAATACATAAGGTATACCCAGTCTGATCGTAACAAATGTACCAGATTTAGTCTCTAATTGAATGGGTTTTTTGTTTTTAAATGTTGAACATAGCCTTAAATGGTAACAGGTACCAACTGTGATAAAATATACAACAAAATGCTCCAGAAGTTTCCAAGGGTCATTTCTAGTTTTTCCAAATTATTTGAGCAATTCTAGTATCCTTGGAATAAATTTAATATCTACCTATCCTGCTAAACCTTAAATGTCAACTTGACATAGCCTCAAGTCATCTGAGGAGAGAAGCCTCAAGTGTCTGTGAGGGATTGTCTTAATTGATGCAAGAGGGCCTAGGCTACTGTGGGCAGCACCATTCTTCAGACAGGTGGTCCTAAGCCATATAAAAAAAGCTAGCTAAGCATGAGGGAGAGAGTGAGCAATGTAGCAAGCCAGCAAGTGCTCCTCCATAGATTCTGCCTTGAGTTCCAGCCCTTCCTTCTCTCGATGATGGACCATTACCTAGAAGTGTAACATGAAATACACCCTTTCCTCCACATATTGCCTTTGGTCATGGTCTGTCACAGCAGCACAAACAAAACTAACACACTACAAAGTGTCATATAGTTCAAAGCTTATTCATATACCAAAAACAAGCTTCAAAAAAGGGTTGCATTATTTAAATTTATAAATTGTACATCTTTTGAAAAGATGTGAATACTTGCACTGGCCACAAATATTCAAATCCCTAATTGATACTATTTACTATTTTCTTATTCTATTGATTATTCATAAACTTTAAGATCAATCCATTTTATTAATAGGCTAGTAAAGCAAAACCAGTTTTTAATTCTATTTATTTTTTGTCTTTTTGAAACAGGGTCTCCCTGTAGCCCCAGCTGGCCTGGAACTCACTATATAGACCAGGCTGGCCTTGAACTCATGGAGATTCACCGGCCTCTGCCTCCCGAGTGCTGGGACTACAGCTGTGCACCACCACGCCCAGCCTAGTATTTTTTTTTAATTATTTACTTTCTATTTTTATTTTATTTAAGAGAAAATTTAATGATTTAAGAATTTCATAAAATGAATTTTGATTATATTCAGACATCCTCCATCTCCACCTTCAACCCATCATCACCCCCCATTGAGCCCAAATCTGACCTTATGTCTTCTATTTTTGTATGAAAAACCCCATTCATCTTATATATCTGAGCTGGATGCCAGAGAAATCATCTCTCATTAGACTGACAGTGATCTATGATTCTTACACTCTGGTGTGCCAATGTAAGGGCCCACTCCTTTTCCTTTGTATGTGGTTCTGGGTCTGGATATGTCCAGGTTTCTTGGAATGGGATTTTCACTCTTTAGTTCTGTTTCTCTTACACACTACCTAGGAATGTCAAGTAGAGATTTCTCTTTTTCTCAGTGGTAGGAACGCTAGGTTTTCTTCATCAAAGTTAGTTGATTGCAGCTCTTGCATGCAGGTTATAGTTTGGCTGTTTCTAGTCCTCACTCAGCACAATGACCCCACTGTGTTCCAAGGTGTTCTGCAATAGGCTGATTCCCCTCAGGGTTTTGCTGTTAGTAAAAGAAGCTAGGTCCTCATAGCAGGCAGCAATTAGCTTACAGGCCTCTGAGCCAAGATTCTGAGTGGCAGCTGGGAAATTTCACAGCTTCACAGAAGAGCTTTACACCAATGTCCTCTAGTTTATTTTCTGCAATCTGTAGCCTTCTCTGGTTTCTAATGTTGTTGAAAACTGCAGATAGGTCTTGACAGCCACTGGGTGGTGATTATGGCTGACCAACCATGGGTACCAGTAGGGTGTTTGGGTGGGCAGTCTGGCACAGCTCTGCCCCACAGGTATGAGTGGCCAGATTTGGCAGATACCTGACCACAAAGTCTGCCAGTGCATGGACAGCCAGATTGGCTTGGCTCTAGTGGTATTTTTATTTTATGTATATGTGTGTTTTGCTTGAATGTATGTAAGTGCACCACATGTGTGCAATGCCCTCAAAAGAGGGCGTCAGATGCCCTGAAACTGGAGTTACAGATGGTTATTAGCTGCCATGTGGGTGCTAAGAACCAAACCCTGGGTCCTCTGGGAGAGCAGCCAGTAGTGCTCTTAACTGCTGAGCCATCTCTGCAGTCCCTGAAAACAGTATTTTAATGAAAAGAATCTAGCCTCAGCAAAAAACTATAAATTCCAATTAAGTACAATATAGAATTTATCTTTATTTAAAGATAGAATGAATCTGAGCCATGTGAGATAAATGTCACTAAGTCAATGTAAAAATAGATTTTCACATAATCTGTTTCACATAAACAGATTTCATTTTTTTTACTATTTCATTTTTGAGACAGTTTCATGTATTCCAGGCTGACTTTAAACTTCCTACAGAGGAATAGTTTATAATGGTGCTATAAATTCTAAATAAGTTTATTATTGCTATACAATTATATTTATTATATTATAAGCAGTGTTTAAACAACACACTTATGTTATAGTTCTGTAGGCCAGTACTCTGATGTAGGTGTCAGCTAGTCAAAATCTGTGCATGTTTCTAGAGTTTAGGGGAGGATCCATTTCCTTACTCAGTCAAGTTTCAAGAAGGAGTCAGTTCTCTGCAATTCTAGAACCGATCCCCCTATCATTCCTGGCTAAGCTGAGGGCAATTTCCAACTTCATGAAGCTGTCTACTTTCCATTGTTCATGGCCCTCTTTGGTCCATCTTCAATGCCAGGAATGATGGGTTGTGCATCCAACCTCCTCTTCTGACTCCTTCTTGTTTAAAGACTCAAGTGTGTTGGACTCAAATCTCCCAGTTTTAAGAATAGTTAACTGACGATTTTAACTCCTTTCTGCCATGTACCATAACATACTGACAGCTTCCAAAGATAGAATGGGGGTATCTTTGTACCCATTATTCTACCTAGTACAAAAGATATTTAGAAGAAGCTTTTTAGTTAGGAGTAAAAAATGCACATAAATTACTCAAATAAAACCTTAAACTATACTTAATAATCATAAAATTATTGCTAAAAATAAGAACAATGTATATTTACTCTGTTTAAACTAGTTAAATGTACACTATTTTTTAAAAAAATAAAAAACTGTCCTTTCTTCATACCAGTTAGTACCAATATTAACATTAAGAAATTGCCCTTTAAGCCGGGCATGGTGGCACATGCCTTTAGTCCCAGCACTTGGAAGGCAGAGGCAGGAGGATCTCTGTTAAGTTCAAGGCCAACCTGGTCTACATAGTGAGTTCCAGGTCAGCTAGGGTTACTGGGAGACCCTATCTCAAAAAGACCCCCCCCAAAAAAAAACCAAACTGAAATTACCCTTTGATAGAGAGCCCTCAAAGATGACTTTTTTACCCCTTTATCCCAAAAGACAAAAAAAAAAAAAACAACTCCAATCGGTTATGTTCTTTACTTTTAAAGATCTATCTCTACTTTTAAAAAAAATTGTTTTTATTGAATTTTTGTGTATTTTTTATACAGAATATTCTCAAAGAATCTTAATCATCTTTATACCCCGTCCCCACAGGCACCCTCCCACAGCGCCCCCACTGGAACCCATATACTGTCATCCATATTAAGGCCTAATGTGTCAAGTCACTGTCCCCAGACGCTCCCCTGTACAAGTCCATCCACTGAGATCTAGTCAGCCTATTTAGAATCTCTTGTTTCAGAAAGATCAGCAATTCCTCACCAAGCAGTAATCAGCGGGCAATGTTTCCACAGCTAAGACTGGGGTCTGCTGATCACTTCCCCAGTTCTATGCCAGGTTTTTGTCTGTCTGAGTTGCATGGGACTTTTGTATGCTGACACATAGAATCATATCCTCTTTCCATATGGTCATGCACCTCCTCCCTGGCTCTAACAATCTTTCTGCTCCCTCTTCCACAATGGTCCCTGAGCCCTGGGTGGGTGAAGTTTAATATAGGAGTCCTGTCCATGTACTAAATGGGAGGAAACTAAACTGTGGTACTATAAACATAACCAAATATACATGGCTGGAGAGATCATAGCTCTTAGAGAAAACTCTTAGACTGTCACATTCCTAGACTAATGTAATTTCTTGCTATATGCAAAATATGTATCCTTATATTTACAGACAAATATTCCAGTCACCACTCATCAAAGAAGCTTATTTTGCACCCGTCAGAGACTATTACCACATACAACAACTGATAACACACAGAACATTGTCTATGAATTGCCTAGGCCTAAGCTACACATCTACAATGCAACCTCTATACCTAAGGTGCACAGAACATAGAACAGGGGTAATGAAGATGACACTAATGAATCTCTCAATTCTCATTAATGAAGATCCCTAATGTTAACAGAGGGACAGGAATACAAAAGGTTACAAATGGCCAAAACATCAAATATTAAAATTAAAATGTCAGTATGAATTAATCTTAACTTGGTCTGAAATGAATCATTTTTAAACTGTTGGTATAATCAATTTTCTATCAAAATGCTTTTGAGTCAGGTGTGGCAGCACAAATTTATAATCCCAGCAATGGGGAGGGAAAGGCCAGGGAATCCTAAGTTTAACAGCATTCTGCACTACATAGTATGACCTGTTTCACAAAGCAAAAATATTTTCAATTTTTTTTCAATTATAAAAATGCCAGAAGCTTTTCCTTACTTAATCTTCATGTCTACTGAATTATATATTTTATATTTAAAGAACAAACCTTGGGGGGGGGCGAGAGAAAAGGCTCATTGGTTAAAGACACTTACTGTGCTTACAGAAGACTTACATTCGGTTTCCAGTACACACGAGGCTCATGACTGTCTGTATGTCCAGTTCCAGGGGGTCAAATACCCTCTTCTGGCCTCCATGGGCACAGGTGTGCATGAAGACACACACACACACACACACACACACACACACACACACACACACACAGAGGTAAGACTCATACACATAAAATAAAAACAAATCTTTGAGGACAAACCTTTACACACTTCTCTTGAATTTCATTTCTCTGAGAAGATCTCAACAGTGGCTTTTCACCATCCATACCAGACTCTTCATGTTTCACTTTGCTAAGGTGATAGTCTGATATCCAGTCCATGAAAACAATTAATAGCTCATATACTTGTCCATTAAGTGGCACCTAGTCATCAAAAATTAAATCAAACATTTACTTCAATTCATAACTTCATAAAAACTGAAAGTTAAGTCTTAAATTTGGTAAGTAATTATAGAAATATTTACCTAAGTATTTTCAGATAAGTGTTTAGGTATCTCTCTAAACAAAAAGAAATTTCAAATCAAATATTTCCAATTAATACTAAAAATTTTAAATGCTGATCGGGCATTTAATCCTAGCACTTGGGAGGCAGAAGCAGGTGGATCTCTCAGAGTTCAAGGTCAGCCTGATCTACATAGTGAGTTCTGGGCAAGCTGGGGCTACAGGTGACCCTGTCTCAAAAAGATTTTAAAAAAATTTTAAATGGTCTCTTAGATAATACAAGAAAATTCACCATAATGAAATAAAAGAGGTAACATTTTGTTACTGTAATGAAGAATTTTCACTGACTATATAGTAGCCCTGGGCCTATAACCCCATCCTAGCAACAGAGAGACTGAAGCAGGATAGTGAATTCTAAGCCAGACTAGATTAAACAATGAGACCCTGCCTCAAGCACACATAACAAAACAATTTTTTTTAAGGAACTGGGCCATGCATAGTTTCACAGGCCTTAATCCCAGCACTCAGAGGCAGAGGAAGATCTCTATGAGTTCAATGCTAGCCTGGTTTATATAGTTGAGTTTCAGGCCAGCCAGAGCTACATAGTGATACCCTGTCTCAAAATAAAACAAAACAGAATTGTCACAAAAGCTCGTCTCAGTTTGATAAGATAGGCTCAGAAGTTAAGCTCACTGGCTGTTCTTGCAGAGGACCCAGGTTCAGGTCCCAACACTACATGATGGCTAACAACTGTCTGAAACTCCAGTTTCAGGGGATCCAAAACCCTCTTCTGGCCTCTGCAGGCATTGCATGACATGGTGCCCTTATACACATGCAAGCAAAACATTCAAATACATAAAGTAAAAAATGAATAAATCAAAATATTGATAAAGACAAAAATGTAAAAAAATTCAACATAAATCACCATATCTAAAAAAGTCTAACATTTATTAAAGATTTCCAAAACTAAAGAATTTGAGGGAGGGGTATTTTCTTCCCACAAAACTTTCTTTCTATTAAGAACTTGATATAAACATGATATGAATTTTTTTTCCAAAACAGGAGGAAAAAAAGAGTAAGACAAAGAGCCAGGGATGTGGCTCAGTAGGAAAACACTTGCTTAGCATGTATGAGACCTGTGCTATCCCACAAAAAAAGAAAAATACCATTAAAAACCTTCAAATATCTTATAAATTTAATTAGAATTTTAGTATTCCTTTCTGAAAATTTATTATACAAAATGGAATTCTTGACCAAGCTGGTGGTTCACACTTGTGATCCTAGCATTTGGGAGGTAGAAGCATAAGAATCAAGAGTTCAAGGTCATCCTCAGTGAGTGAGTCATCATCCTAGACTACAGGAGATCCTATCTCAAAAAATAAAAACAAAACAACAACAAAACCCAGAGTCCTTCCTGCAAAGAAAGGGCCAAGAAAAGAAAGAGAAACTAAGGCCATAAATACTCCAAGAATTATTTCACAGAATCAATCTAACAAAATGATCTGTCCTTCCATGCTGGGTAAAGGCCTTCCAGTGTGCACACACTCAGGTCACTCATATACGTCAGCAACCCCTCAGTCATCTCTGTAAGTAAGCTCAGTAAATTCATTGGTTTTCCAGGAAAACCTTAATTAAACATTGGTTTGATACAAGAACCTTAAAAGGGTGATAAGCATTGCTTAGTATCCCCAGGAAAAATAATTCTCACAACAAATGGAAAATTTATTTGTTAATGTTATTATGTCTCATAATTATTAAAAGAGAAAATGAGAATTTAAAAGATGTTAAAAGGATATGGAAATGTAGATATTTTCCGAAATAGAAAAAAAGAGAAAGCCTAAGCAAGTGATGAAGATCTGTGTACGTTTGTAATGATATATAAGGATGAGATAAAAATAATATATACATAATCTTAAAATTTCTAAGATCATAGAGAGTTTAAGTTTAAGGAACAAAATATATGTCCAGTCAAGGTTTATCTGAGAACATTTGGTTTTTGCCCAAGCTTTATCTACATAGCACATGGTAATTAAAAGTACCAGACTGGTGGAACTAACCTTATTGGATGTTTAACAGCCATACTTTGAGGCCTATACTAATCTGATCAGAGGGACTTAAAGGACAGTTTTTTCCCTTTGCTTTCCAAGGTCAACTAAATTCTAGGGGACTATGGAGCATCTCTCAAAATATCCTGTAACTGTGATGAGTCACCTGTCCTCTTGTTCAGGAAAGCCATGGAGACCCCACCAGATGGACTTGAGCCAGTGTCCAATCTACAAAGAGGAGGGTCAACTCAGAGGAAACATTTCCTCCATGCTTCCAAGTAAAGCCAGCCATGGTCGAACAGGACCTCTGACTGCTCTTCACATAGATGGAACTGGTGAAAAAAAGGAGCCAGGAGCTCCTCCCAAGCCCATGTGACCCCTGAGAAACAGATCCTGAAATGACCTTAAGAGTAAAAATGAATTGGTTTATTTGGGCCAACTGTGTGGTCTTAAACACCCAAAAGGAAAGTATAACCAAAGATTAAAGTGATCAGTATATTTCTTTAAGAATTCAAGGGATTACACTTCCCAGACACGAGGCTTAAGTCCATATACAATGTTAGACAATTTCTCATTGATGATTTTGTTTACAATCACAAAGTGCTGCTCAGATGTAAGACTTCAAATCTTGGTCTCCAATACTGTAGTGCCCATCTGTAGCTAAGGGAGACAACCCACTGTTGTTCTAAATGATGGAGAAATTTATTTTCTCCCCCTATCTAGAAGTCTTTGAGAGGGAACTGACACTGATTCTAGCCACTGCAACAGCTACCAAAGAGTCTGAAAACAAATCCTGAGTCCATCACTCTTGAGTCCAGTCTTGGCAGACAAAATAAAAATGAGGAGGCAATAGAGGGATGCTTTTGGAAGCTCTCATCAAAAAATTCCAATTATGATATGAACATTTGAAATTTGCCCTGTTCTGACTTTTTTCTGGTTCCCTGTCTAGAACTTATGCTAACTACTCTTGCCTTTACTTCTCCTTCACATTTCCTATTCACCAGTCAAGGCCTTTCTTTTCCCCCTACAGATAAGAGTTATGCAATTTGGGAGTCTTTTAGATAGACCCCAATTGCCTCACCCTGCATCCTTGTTCAGCATGGAAGAAGCCAGAGCGGTCTGTGCCCCAATTCCCTATCAGCAATTTGGGTAACCTCTTCAGAGGATGGTTTGATAAGAAAAGGAGGTAGGAATTGGCTAGGCAATTAGGGTAAAAAGACCCTAAAGTAGCCAGTTTCTTGGCTAAAAATCAGAATACCCTTGGGCCTCTTAGCAACATACTCTGTTCCAAAGCACAAAAATGTCAAAAGTATTTGAGAGTTCTTATCTAATCCATAAAAGATTTTAGGGTTACCTCTTCAGAGGGGGGGAATGTTAGAGTAGCAAAAAGCCCCATTTAAAAAAAATGGAAAGGAATCATACACAAAGTTGTTCAGGAAAAAGTGATGGGGAGCTAGGGGAGGAGTTGGAGGGGAGGGAGTGGGCATGGATTTGATCAAAACACTTTATATGCATTTATAAAATTCTCAATAAATTATTTTAAGTTTAAAAGAAGAAACAATTATTTTAAAATAATAATAATTTATTTGGTATCAAATTGACTTATAAGTTCTTATGTAAGCTAAAATTGTTAAATTATAACCTTGTTCCTAGTGCTAAAAACATGTAAGTTAAATTTAAATGATGATTACTTCTGTCTCAGGATGCAATTTATCTCTGTGCTTTTACATATGTTTTAAATAAAATAAACATTTTACTACTACTCTCTCTTTAAAGTCAACAAAGAGATTTGTCAAGATCCATATCTCTGCCAATTCTATGTGAAAACATCTTTAAACATTTAGAAAAAAACAGTCATTCAAAACTTGCTTCAAGGCTTACAAGGACATCTCAAATTTTATACTATACTTGAGGTAATTGTTCATCTCTATATACATAAAAGAGTAAATATTAATTGCTTAGTAAATTCTCACAACAAATAGTAAATTTGTTTGTGAATGTTATTATGCTTCATGGTTTTTAAGAAAGGAAATAAAAAGGTTAAAAGGTTGGTAAAAGGATATGAAATGGATATTTTAATAAAGACTTATGAGCCTGAGAGGGTGGCTCAGACCTCCTCCATCTGGGTAGCTGCTCGGAGCTCAGCAAACCACCAGAGAGAGCAGGGTTCTGGCCTCCCTCTGGCCTCCAACTACCAGAGGGCCTGAGAACCCAGGGGAGAGCTTCACAGCCCCTAGATCCTGCCTCCACGTGGTGGTGAGCTTCTCCTAATTGCGCCATACCATCCCCCTACCTGGGATTTTTGTGAGGCCCCTCCAAAGGCCCCAGGGCAGATCTGGCTTTGGTAGGCTAAGGCTGGGATCTCAGCAGACTGCCAGAGAGTGCTGAGTTCTGCCCCTCTCTGACCTCCCTCTGGCATAGGGTTGGCAATGCACAGGACTGCCTGAGAGAGCCTGGAACCTGCCTCCATGTGGTGAAGAAAGCTTGAGTGTACCTGACTGGAGCCTGAATTGGGCTTCTGTGGGCACCCATCAATAGCTGATCTGAAATCATCAGTTCCCTCCAAAATAAGCCTGAAAGAACCTGAACCCTGTACTAACCAGCTTTACATAATCAATAAAGAAAGGATCTAGGCACCCCGATAATACAAACAGTATACTTCAGCTTAATTCTCATATTAGAAAAACTCAAAAGAACAATGATGAATATGATAAAAGAATTCAGTGAATTTAAAGAACACGTAATCATAGAGCTGAAGGAAGATAGGGATAAACTTCTGAATGAATTCAGAAAAGAGCTAGAAATATTGAAGAATACTCAGGCTGAAATAAAGAAGGAAGTGAAAAACTCAATAAGCCAACTTGAAACAACAGGGGA